TGGGCCAAGCTCTATGTCCATGCACCACTGGAAAGCTGAAGAAATAACTTGGGCATCCGAGTTTTGGTCCAGGAACTCAACAGCAAGCATCTGCCTCTCATTCAAAAATTATAAAGCCAGAAGGGAACATCGTGGCCAGCCTGACCTTCTGCATGAACACGGGCCACCTGACTCCAAATTAATTCCTACTTGAAACCACAGCACATCCTCAGCCACACATTCTTATGTTTTAGACTGTCTGCAAGGTCATTTAAGGCCAGGAGGGCAGATTGTAAAAGCCTTGGCCAACAGGTCACCTAGAAACATGAAAAATTGGATGCTGAGGGGAAGCCTCCTCCCGGCTGCAACAGCCTCTGGATTAGGTCTTGTCGCCTTCTCATCCATAGATCTCCAAGGGGAGGTCAGGATCTTTAATCCAATTGACATTGCAGCGCTAGCATCTTGTGCACAGACAACCAGCAGAAGCCAGGCAAACATCTCACCCACCACACCAGGGCTTTCCCAGCCCTTCCAAATCGAAGCACCAGAAGATTAACCCACAGACCGGTGTGTGCAATGTCACTGCAGTGCTTTGCATTTACAGATTAAAAAACCCAAATCTTTGCTCTTTCATTACCCTTATTTCTCCGCTACCACCGGGGCTTGGATGGGCACACACATGGGAACGTGGCTGCACAGGCTCTTTGAAGCTTTCTTCTCCAGATGGTCAGAGCCGTGAGCATGCAGAGGGGCGCGAAGCACAGCGAAGGAATCGCCTCTCGCACCCCAGGAGCGCCCGGACCCCAGGGCTGAGGCACTTTTATTTACTTCACCCTAGAAACATGGAGGGGGGATTCATTTGGAGCCAAATTCTTAGCGATTGGAGGTACTCTGGACTGTAAAAATGGGATTTGTTAGGGTAATTGAGTGGAATGGAGGAAGTGCTTTCTGTTCCTATACATACTCAGCCAGGGGTCTCATTAGCGATGGGTAATAGCAAGTGTAGTGTCGGTTTTAATGAAAGGATTTGGTGACAACCTGAACCCTTCAGAAAATGAAAACCACCTTGTGAAAATAACAAGAAAAGTTTGAATAACAAAAAAAAGACTAGATCTTTCTACCCCTCTCCTTCAGCCATCTGTCCTTCCCTCCCCTTCTACATGAACACAGACCACACCACGGCACACCAGTAGGTTTTGGCCACATCTCGACTGTTTTCACATCCCTTTACCAACTCCAGGCAAGAAGTCAGAACTGCTCCCCTCTCTCTAAACTGTATTTAATAGAGCGTGCATCCTTGGGGTTGTGTTATCCCTTCGAGCAGCCTAGTTAGTTTAATTATCCATGGATTTAACAAAGGTAAATAAATGGATAAAAATCAGGTGTCTGCTCAAAGTTGCAGTGAGAACAGCTATTGCTACTCCAGCCTCTGGACATGGAGTAATAGCTGTGACTCGGTCCAGTTCATTTTGTGAGCTGCAAGGTTTCCAGAAGTATCTATTATTCAAAGCAGTTCTGGTATTTATCATGGGGATTTGTAGTGAATGGTAATGCGTCAGCAGCACAGAATGCTTCTTTATATTCCTTTTGTCCAACTTTAATGCCAAAGATATTTTGGGGTTTGGCTAATTGTTGCAGCTTGCAGTTCGTGGGCTAAATCAGATAACAAAGGCAAAAAGCGATCTTCCATCATGTCTCTCTATTCAGCGTGTTGGAGTAAGGGTGAGCACCAGGGCTCGGCCTGGGCCAGCTCAGCCAGGGCTGCAGCCCGGCTGCTCTGCACGGGGCCAAGTACATCCGCAGAAATCCAAAGTCAAAGGAATTACTCCAGATTTCCACCAGTGGAACAGCACAGTTCAGTCAATCTGAGCCAAATGTAAGATATTTGTGAAATAAACCCCGAACATTTCCAGTCTAAGTCCCATCAAATGCTTTCTCCACGAGGTCCAGACACGCATCAACTGCTTACAATCAGGCTGATTGCTGCTTAAGCCTGCATTATGTTCAAAGCAATATATCAATTATGTGGTTTAAATCATATCTATTTGTTCATAAAACACACCTGGACAGGATGAATAAAAATGTGGGGGGAGAAGAAAACTGCTCTTTAATTCAGTTGCCAATGACTTAGATAAAATGTCCCCTGCTAAGACCACCCGAACTCCCCCCGCCAGGATGCAGGCAGGGGCCAGGACATGGTGTGATGCCGCTCACTAACATGCAGCAGTGCTGCCTTCACCCATCAGTGTGCTAACAGGGCCCTCCGATCCCATAGCTGCTGATAAATAGCTGCTTTTTTTTTTTTTTTTTTTTTTTTTTTTTTAGGACTTTCAGATATTAATGTAGTTCTGAGGGCAGGATGAAAGGCAGTTGGCTTTAAAAGATGACTGATCCACTCCTCAGAGTCAGGGAGAAGCTTAGATTTATAAAAGATTTATTATAAGGATGGGAGGGGAATAGCTGAAAAATGCTCTACGAGCAGGAACAGACCTCCAGGCAGGCTGGAAGCTGCACAGAGGTGCTCCGGACCTGATTATTTAATTTAAATATGTAGTGGGGGCAGGGTGAGAGGGTTTGGGGAGTAGCTGGACTGCACACCACAGAAAAAAAGTGCAATAGGCAATGGGGAAAGGACCTGCAATTGCAACATGCAATGAAGATCTTGGGAGGGGGCACATTTGGTTGCAGGTTCAATATTTCCCTCACTTTCTGCTCTGAGCACTCAGCAATTTGGGTAGAAAAGCATCCAAGCTCCAGCAGATGTGAACAACAAAGACCTCGCAGCAGACCCCTGATCTCGGTCACAGCCACGCGAACCCAAGCAGGCAGCAGACCACTCTCTCCCTGAAGTTTCTCCTTGTCCGCATTCATGCAATGAAGGACAGATTTCAGTACCCTGATTTTATATTTCTGGGGAGAAGAGCTATGGGGGCCTGATTCTGGCCCTTCCGAGGGATGTAAATTCAGAATAAACTCATTGAAGGCAGTGGAGCGGCACTAATATGATGGGAGCCTGGGAGATCCAAACGAAGCCTTTGCGCTTCCTTTTATTTCTGCGCAGAGGCAATCAAAACCAGCCAGCAAGGAGAGATGTGAAGCTTTGTTGCAGAAGGGCATATTTAGGATTACTTTGATCTGAATAACAGTTAAGTTCTTTTCTTCTTTTGTTGGTGGGGGAGTTTTGAATTTTGTTTTTTTCCAGTTAAAAAATAATTACTTTTTTTCTGACTTTGTCAAGGCTAATTTAGGGGCAAAGCATCCCCTTAAATGTCAGGGGAGAATCACAAAGGGAAGCTCCACAACCTGGGGGCTCATTTCGCTAATCTAAGCAATATTTTCCAATCCATCTGGTTTAGTGATTTGCAGTGAAGACATATTTCAGAGCATGGAGAAAGACACCAGCCAGCTGTGGATGTCCCAGTTGTGGCTATACCATGGGCTGGGCCACAATTTATTTACCCTGTTTTGCCTTTTTTTGCTTCTGACCACTCCATGGGAGAGAACTGAGGGACCTTTGGTCTAACCCTACATGGCCAGATCTAGGCATGCAGAAGACAACGTTTGGTTTACGCTAAAAGCGGCTGACATAATAAAGATTAAAAACATGCATCTTATTCGACAGCCTATCATCAGCGCTGGCTGGGGCTGTGGGGCTGGGTGGGACGTGTCCCATCATACGATGTCCAGTGCAAAAGGGGCTGCTGGCTTCTGATATTGCAGGGGGAAAGGAAGGGACCTATGGGATGGTTGGACCAGGTGAGCTTGAAAAAGCAGCAGATGTTGGAGCATGAAAAAAAATCCCTAGCTGGCAATAAAGAGCAAGGTCTCTTCATCACTTTTAATAGTACTTTTTCCAAAAATAATTACTGCCTCTTTTCTTAAAAATTCAATTTATTTTATGGAGGTTAAAAAACAGGTGAAGACAATCAGTAAAATCCCAGGCTGAGGATCCATGCTGGAGATGTAATGGGATAATGGCTTTTTTTAAAGGCAATTCACAGCTGAGTGACTCCATTCTGCCAGCACTAACTCTTTCTCCTCCTGTTCCTTCTCTGGAGTCACTGCTGCCTTTCACATGCTCCAAATTCCATTTTCATTCAATGAACTCAGTGAAATACAGCAAAATCATGTCCACAAGATGCAGCTTTCATGTTCTCTATACCACCCTGGTTATTGTCACGTGGCTCTACCCATCCATTTCACAAACAGAAAGAGTTACCCCCTGGGGATGACACATCAGATCATCACACTTTTAAGCCTGAGTACAAGGTAAAATGAAACAAAGAGGTAACCTGGGAAGAGCAGAAAACACCCCAACCCCCCCC